TTAATTTTTTAGTTATTATTTCTAATTGTGGTAAAATACATATGACATAAAACTTACTATCTTAACCATTTTCAAGTGTGTAGTTCGATGACATGAAGTACAATCACACTATCATGCAGCGATCACCACCCTCCATCTCCAAAACCCTTTTCGTCTTGCCAAAATGAAATCATATCATTAAATGTTCCCCGTTGCCCCTTACTCCAGCCCCTGGCGACCACCATTCCATTCTGTCTCTATGAATTTGATGACCCTAGGTACCTCGTATAAGTGGAATTGTACAGTAGTTATCTTTTTGTGACTGACTTGGCATAATACCTTCAAAATTTTTGCAGTTTTTTATAGTTATCTTTTGCATGATGCAAGAAATAAGCAGACTTTTTGCCTGTGCGTTGAACTCCAATGTCAACTACATTCATTCTATGTGGTGAAAACAGCGAGCTGAGAGTTGTATAGCAACACCGAATAAAATTATCGCATCACACATTTGAAGTACACCTGCTCTGATTTTAAGCCTATATGTGGGATATGTTGCATTCAGTTTAGAAATTAAATTGGACTGTAGCATTGAGTTTATTTTTTAATATAATATTCTCCTAGGAGACGAAAATGAAAGAAGAGGGGAAAATTCTCATGTGAAGCCAAGAGTCTGTCGTTTCAGGGAGGCGCTACTGGGCCACCACCCTTACCTTGACCAAGTGGACCATCGCATCCTCGAAGAATACCAAATCCATGCCAGCACCACGGACGCTCTCGTTATAGAGCTGCAGGAACAGATTCAAACACTCCCTTAGATGATCAAAAGATTCAATTGGCTCATACACTTTGGGCATCTCAGCATCGGCCTCCTCAGATGGTTCACCTGGGGGCCGGGGCAGAAGAATTGATTAAGTTTCTTCAAGTCACTGGACTTTACTACTTCCTTTGACGCAAATGAATACACTCATAGCTCTACTACTTAACCCTGAATAATACTTATTTTCATCCAAATGTCATGTTATATATTTTAGAAAAGAAAAGAAAGCAAATAATAGTAAAAGCATTAGAATTTTTGTGATCATACGCAGTCTTCTTCCTTTCCTATCTAGAAAGGGCCAATTTCAAATAATGTTATAAACACTGAATTTGATTTGAATCCAGAAGTGAATTTTGGCATTTCTAAATTCTCTCAGAAATATTCACCCAATGGTCAAAATGAAGATCAAAAAAAAAAAAAGATTTAGTGTTAAAATCAGCAACAGAGGTCAAGAATTAAATTATTTTTTAATAAGAATAAAAAGGTCATTGAATTTGCTCTGGAAATTTTTATAGTTTGAGAATTTCAGATTAGTGGTGAGGATAGAAGTGAATTTGGGGGAATGGAAGTGGAGGCTTGAGAGAAAATAGAGAAATGATTTTTTTTTAAATTAATATGTTCAATTATTTGACTGGGAAAGTATTAAAATCAATATATCTTTTCAAAAAATTTGAAACACATAATATAGCAGCTTAACACTTTTCCGACTCTGACTATAAAAAAAAAACAACAAAGAAAGCTACACTGGCACATAAATTCAGTATCAATTAATAGTAACAGGAAAAAAAGTGACACATTCATTGAATAGTCTAAAAGAACTGAGGAATTCACTGGGTACTAGAAGACTCAGTGGATCTTCCAAATCTAATAGTACATAATGATTTTCAATTTACCCTGTCCTAATATAATACAGTATATTAATCTTTTTATGACAATGCAAGGAAATTGATTTAACATAATCATTAAGTTTGGTGTGTTCGTAAAGCTCTCATTGCTTAAATTTCAATAGTCATGTCACCGTTTCATAAACGTTCAACTCAAGCTTTGAGAAAAAAGTTCTTTGAAGTCACAAAAGATTAGGTGTTTGCCTCCAGACACCCGCTCCCCCAACAAAAAAATGCATTTGTGCTTTGCTCCTTGAAAATCATAATTATTTATCTTTCTGAATTAGAAGAAATAAAATATATAAATTCTAATTATCTTACAAATGCTCTTACCTTTACATCATTTTTGTATTTGCGTGACCTGATTTCAAATAAAACATATGAGCTTCTTTTTGTGAAAGGATCATTCCAATAGTATAGCCAGCAATAAACCTCATTTTACAACTGTCACTCAGAAACTTGATAGATCACATATATCCTTCCTTATTAAACCAAACAAGGAGCACCCTGGTCATTTTTGATGATTTAGAAGATACAAATAGCATGCATTTAAGTAGCCTTTTTAAATATGGAAATTTACTTAAAATTCATTCCCAGCTAACGTGTGGTAGATCCTTTCCTCAGATCTACCTCTGTGTGACAGGCATAAGTCCTATGCACTTTCTTCTGCCATATCCTGCCTCCCAACTTTATCTTAATATCCAAGACTTACATGCATAAAAACAGTTACTCTTTGACCTCCATGAGTATGCATTTATCCACTCATCCTGTACTTATTGAGCACCTAATATGTCCCAGGCTTGTTTCCATAAAGTTTACTAGACTGAAATTCATCAGTCCTTAAATGAACCTTCCATCTTCAGCCCTCCCTTTGGGGAATTTCAGATTCTGCTTCGATAGTTTACCTGTAGCTTCAGGTGCATCCCTCAGGAAATCCACAAAATAGGTGTCTATTCCACAATCCACCAAGAGTTTTTTCTCTTCACCAAACTCCTCCTCCACCAGACTTACTAAAGCCTTATCAAACCAGGTCACGTCATCGGGCACCGTGAAACGATCGGCTATCACACGTTTACACTCATGCTTCCACAGCTTTAACAGTTCCTGTAGAAGCATAATTAAACTGTGTTATTGCCCTTAAGCCAGAGTTGGGAACTCAAGTTCATGGTATTGTGGAGTATACCATCCTTCCTGATTTAAGATGATACATTTTAAAAGTTTAAGGTCAAAATATACTTAATCTCTTTTCAAATTGGTCTCACTCAAGCATATTAGAAAGAAAGTAGTGTCTATTTGTTTCCAGTCTTTAAATTAAAATCGAAGTCTCTAGACAAAGTACTAAAATCACTCTGATTAACCAACGAATTAATATTCTTTGTAGAAGTCTTATGTTTATGACAAATTAGTCTGTTTTGATAAGAAATCTATATTCATATGGCCAGAGTATCAAATAAAAGAGTATATAAACAACTCTCACAGATATAACTGAGATACTATAAGGGTATACGTACTTAACAAAATGTTAAGAAAATTTGTAGCAAATATCTGGATTATCTGAACTAAACAATCACCTAGTCTAGATAATCCGGGACCCAAGTTAACCGCAAGTTGAGGAAATTAATTGCTCAATACACCTGTTCTTCTAGCAAGACTAACAAATGTTTGTCTAAGCTCATTACTTGATATGGAAGAATGGTGGAAATTTCTTAAGTTGGTGACATTTTGCAAATTAGAAGGGTTTTAAGCCATTATATTACTAGTGATGAAATGCTATTTGGTTGCCAGAATATAAAAGGAGTGTAGTAAAATATATTCAATGATTCCATTAAAAGTTCATGATAAAACCAATTGCTAAAACTGTTTATGCTGATTTAAAATAAGCAACAAAAAATGGCTACTCACAAAGTAATATTAGAGAAGTGCATTCCATAATGCCATTAATTTGTCAATAATATTGTGGGAAAAAATCTAGTTAAAATGTTCGCTGCTGCTATAATGACTCTCACTTCTCTGTAACAAGGAGAGTGAGCTTTCCCCAACATGTCTTGTCTTGGAGTCATCCTGTGCGATTACCTACTTTGTATCTGGGACAAAGTGGCATTGTTGTTGTTTTAATGATCGACATTTGATGTGCGTAGTGGCAGTTCAGTTGGTATCTCAATTGTCTCTGTGTATTTATGTGAAGTCTCCTAAAACCTATTTGCTTAACTACCTCCTTGTTTCTGTAAAAGGTGGAAAGAGAGACCAAGAATGCCTTAGCCTGAGAATGCAGGCCATGCTTTGGTTCCTAGTTTGAAGAGAATTCTATAACGCTGGGAGCTGTTATATTCAAGTGTATATACAAATGTATGTACTAAATGTATTTTAGTGCATCGAGCTATATGGAAAGGAAAGATCACGAATGAATAATAATAAAATGGTTTCTTTTTTCAATTTTAAATCTTCATAAAAGTCATTACTTTTTAAAGTTAAAATGTCAAATTTAAAATATAAAGACTATGATATAATAAATCAATATTGACCCTTTCCATTATTTTGTCTTAAAAAAATGATAAAATTGTTTCTTTTATTCTATTAATAGAAAATAGTTGTGTAATACCATTTCCTTAAATACAGACCTAATTTAATTAGAATTTTTAAAATAAAATTTTCTGACATTTTTCCTTATTTATATTAGTTTAAAAACAGCAAAGAAACGACTATCAATGCTAGAACATCTCAAAATATTTTCATAATTCCACTAAAAATTACATCACTAAGAATATTTAGGGCACATGGTAAATGACGATGTCATTTGCTTTTCCTTCCTGTGTATTACTTACATCTGGATTTTTGATAACCTCTGAAGTAGTGTTCAGCATTCCCTGCCAGATCCTAGAAAGATCTCGAAGATTGAACACGTAATGGAACTTTGCCGGGGTAGGAAGCATTTTAATCTTAGTCATCTGCCAGAGTCGTCGCGTCAAGGGAACCAGTTTCATCACGGAATCTCTCACTTCTTCTGAGAAATCCCTTTGGGTACAGTAATAGCCTGTCCCAATCACACCTGAAAGGGGGAAGAGGCATAACGTTTTAACTGACAGTTCATATCAACTACATTAAAATGAAAAACATTGTATTGCTGAGTTTGCACAAATATAATGATGCATTTTAATAGATAACCACATATTAAGGAAATTTGTATTGATTAGTGTTCTCTTGGGTTTTTTTCAACCTAAAAAGTAGATACAGGTTTAAGTAAGTTAGCACTCAAATACTAAAAAGTTGATTAAGAAATACTACTAAAATTCTACCTGAACTAATTCAATATTATTAAATGAGTAAGTGAAAAATATATAAAGTTGCCTTATAAAACGATAAGAAAAGGGAGACTTCATGAATGCTCTAAGATTTCTGCATTCTGTTGTGGCCTTTCCACATATTATAAAATACTTTAATTTACCTCATATGTAAAACTTTCATGGCCAAAAAAAAAAAAGGTAATTAAAAGTGGTAATAATCATTCTTTCTAGTCCATTTTACTTTCCCAAGTTTAAATAACTCACGTGTCATTTGGTTTCCAAACCTTTACCCACTGCTGTGACTGAAGGTAGACACTGCCATACTCCACCAGCCTCGGGTGCTAAGATGACATTTTAGTTTGCCAGAAATTAATTAGGGTAATCCTAATGAGCTTTTTCCCAGAAGCATGTTCAGAACTGCTAAATTAATACCTAATGCAAATACATACATAACTTCACATTCTTTTCCTGTAAAGAGTAATTTCAAAATCACTTATAAATCATTTTCATTACCCAGTTAAATAATTATGGTTATCTACTGGGCTAGTGTTTCTTCAATGAGATTATTCCTGAAATACTACCTATTTAATCAAACAATAATTTATTACTCTGAAGATCAAACTATGATTCATCTCAATGTGAAATTATTTCTGTGCAAAATTATTTCTTTGGCCAGAATCATGATATGGACTGGTTGAAATATCAGCTACATAACATTTTAGCATGATATCGTATCACTCCAGACCTCAAAAATGTGTATACATGAGGAGAGAGCTCATCATCTCCATGTGCATTGAATGTTTACTCTCCTTGCTTAAGAAGCTGGCAACAGTTAAAGGAAAAAAAAAAACATAGCTAGAAAGATCTGCCTAGGCGCCCAATTCAGTATGTATGTGTATGTGTGTAAGTGCGTGTGTGTGTGTGTGTGTGTGTGTGTACTTACATATACATAATAAATCCTTATATAAACAAAACACACTACTTGGGAGTGATGAGGACAACAGACTACGGAGCCACACGGCCGTCCTTCTGTGCTGCCCTCTGGGTGGATATTGCCTTGCTGGACCACAGGCAGGTGTTCTTCCCTCCCAGGACCTGCTCGCACTCATCTTACCAAAGATCTTGTCCATGGAAGCATCAGAGGGCAACGTGCAGTTAAATATCGAGAACTGCCTTTTGAGTCTTTGGGGTATGTCGTTGCGCCCGCCCCCAGGATGGATCATGGCTGCCAAAATCTGGAGGTCCACAATGCTGGTAAACTCCCCAGGCTTCTCCAGGTTATAAAAGCCGTTCTGTTCCATCAGCTGTCGTACTATCTCATTAGTAACCTGAGAAAGACAACTTTCGGAATTAAAACATCACTCTTCTACACCCCAGAAACTAACTCCCTGAGTGCTTCCCAATAATGGACTTCATTGGGATTCAGGAATTGTCTGTTGGAAAAGCAGAAAAATATTTCCTCATCAAATAATAAATCAATGTCGAATTAAGGAAAGAAAGTGCACAATAGGATCGTATACCTGGTCTCCCCATTCATTGATTATTGGCATATTCACATCATCAATAAAAACAGTCATCTTCTTTCCTGCAGGAGGGCCGTACGTTGTACCCATCCGTTTGTCCACATAGCTCTCTATTGTCCTCTGTTAAACAAGAAGGTCAATGGAAACATCCGTGAGAATATCCCCTCAAACATGGTCAGTTATTTCTAAGATCTAGAAACATCTGAATTGGCAGGAATTACTCGGAATAACTCCAAAATTCCCCTTAATTCTAGAAAGCAGGACATGAAGTACCTAAATTTTCTTGATAACATTTACAACCTTTGAGAATCTGATTTAATTTAGGAGTAATTAAACTTCTAATCAACGTAAATTTTGAATGAGATGAGACACTTCAGTCCATTTCTACACATTTACTTTTATCTTACAGTACCTATGCTGATGACGCTCTAACCCCCAATGGCCATTATTCAGAAGATCCAGCCCTGCTAAAAGTTTCCTTACAATCAGGAACAATGCTAAGCCGGGCTACTATCCTAGGAGCTTCTCAGGCCTGTGCTGACTGCACAGCCTGCCATGGTCTAAAGACTGTTCTCTCTCCACTCAGGGGGCTGCCAACCAGCTTGTGTAGCCTGACACAACCCAGACCCACAGCACTGGTGCAGATGCAGTCACAGTGAACCGCTTCGCATCCCCTGAGACAAAAAGGAGTACGATGCCCACCCATGTCACATCTCTCATTTCTACATCCCGAGCTTAGGTGGCAGAGGAAGAGACTATGACACGCTCTATAAAAACACCTTCCTGGCAATATGAAAAAAGAACATTGAAACTGATGAAACTAATACAATGCTATATGTCAATTATGCCTCAATTTAAAAAAAAAATGATGGAAGGAGCGTTGGAAGGGTTGAGGGGACATGGGAGAAGGACCCCAGATTTCTGACTGTGTCGTCATTTTCATGGTACTACAACGCGCTATATGTCAATTATGCCTCAATTTAAAAAAAAAAATGATGGAAGGAGTGTTGGAAGGGTTAAGGGGACATGGGAGAAGGACCCCAGATTTCTGACTATGTCGTCATTTTCATGGTACTACAACGTAGTTGGAAATCGATCAGTCGTTCAAAATGTAGGCGCTGAGGAACCAGAGCTGGCACTGCAAGGCATCAGAGAGGGCTTCACGGTTCTCGTGCTCTAGAAGTTCAGTCTCAAAGCTCACTTCACTCTCACCACCATAGGAATCTACTGGTCCTTGACTGTAAGTCATGCTCAAGATAATGCATAAACACAGGAGAAAGGGGAGGTATCCTGACATAAAAATCATTCCCCTCCTATCCCAAAAAAGGTCTCTTATTTCATGATTAAAAGCAAACTGGTTAAAAATGACTTTAATAACCCAAGATTACAACCACAAAATAAGGCCAAGATATAAGGAAAAATCTATACATCTGACCTTGGAGATCTTCACAATTTGGTGATTTCCAACTGTAAGTCTCCACCATCATTTTAATGAATAATAGCAAGAGATATGAAAATTTTTCATAATTTTTAAATAGAAAGATATATAAATATATCACAAGTCATTCAATTACAAAACAAATCCCCATGACGACAGTACAATGGCAAAAAGAATTTCATATTCCCCTGACATAAAAGCAAACTGAAGTAAGGTACTAGGCTAAATTTAGCACTGCTTTCCAATGAATTTAAATGCATAAAGCAATTAATAACCTCCTGACACCTCCCTACGGCAATAGAGCCCTCAGACATTCACCTGTCTATTAGTGGGAACTCGCAGGTACATTAAGATTCCATGTCTCAGGGGGCCTCCCAAGAGCTAAGAGCCAAATGTGCAATAGATGAGATAATATGGAGTAAAGCCACATACCTGCACTTTCTTCCGCTTCATTATGACCCAAAAATCTTCAAAATAGCAGGAAATTATTAGTAAGTTTATCTATGTCATAAAAGAGCTAAGTTGACAAAAACAAAAACAATGAAGGGAAAAAAATTAAATAGCCTGTGAACCTGGAGTTGAGACTTCTGTTTTTAGAATAGCTGCCTATTAAATAGTTACCTAATGAACTCTGAAGTTTGGTGAGACCTCCCGAAGGCCTGAAACACAGCAGATCCATGTCCTTCTCCATCACACATCTACTCGGCAATGTTTGGGAAAACCGTGTACTTGGACTGGTACCTCTAACTGGACTTCAAACTTGGATGATCCACGGCATCACAAAACCAACACATCCAAACACATACGCCTCTAACCTCAAAACCTGCATCCTCACCCAAGTGCTCATTCCAGGTACTGGTGCCACCTAACTGCCCCATCCAAACACTTCCGCATCCAACAGTGACAAAGTCTTTCTATTATAATTTCAATATTGTCTTCTAATGGAATTCCTTCTCTCTGAACAATGACATGCCCTAGGTCAGTTATTGGTCTTTCTCATGGGTACTGATGTCACAACCTTTTAAGTTGCCTTCCTTGCCTCTTCTGGTCAGTCCTGGAAACTTCTTTATAAGTCATATACGCTGTCTACAGACACAAATTTATCTAAAATTTTCTGTCTCCACAAAGAATCGCTCTAAAGAATTATGGGTCATCTTTGTAGTATTCTGCCACCCACTTTCTCCCTGATCTTTTTGATCTCTGTTCCCACCTCATCCGCTGTTTTGGTGGCATAAACCTTGGCCCAATTAATAAAAAAAGATACGTTGGTTTATTTGATGATTGTCTGTCTCTCCCACTAGAATGTAAAAAGGGCCAGCACCTTGCAACTTGCTCATCGTCACAGCCTCAGTGTCTAGAAAGCTATCTGGTACAATGTACTTATCAGTCAACATTCGATACCCAGATAAAGACAAGAAACTTGGGAGTCATCTTTAACGTTTTCTCTCTCTTCTATCCCTTTGCTCCAACAATATCCACTCGACCAACAAGTCCTGTCTAACCACAACTCGAATGCACCTCTGTGCTGTCTCCATCCCCACTCGCATCGTCTTGGTCCAGCCCAGCCTCCCTCCTGAGGAATTACCGCAACCATCACCTCTCAGGTCCCTCTGAGTGCAGCCACCTTCCTCCCTCTTGTTCTCCCCTCTGCCGCCAGAATGAACTTCCTAAGGGGCAATGCAATCCTGCCCAACATTCCAATGGTTCCCCATCAGTGACTTACATTGAAATCCACGATGTTCCCTGCTCGCCAACCCAGTCCCATTTCTAAACACTCCACGGTCTCTTTGTTCTGGCCCCTCAAGCTCTTCATTCATTCATACTCAGTTAACAACAAAACACATACCATAAACTGATACTCATCTCATGGGCTGGTTTGCAGTGTTCATTATGACATCCTTATTTACATATTCCCAGAATAGCCATTTCCGAACCCAAAAAATCTCTCAGGGTTAGTGTTAGCCAAACACAATTTCTGAAATATTGATTAGATGAATGATCTTCTATAAATGTCACTTCTCTCGGCCCCGCTACTGATAAGAAAAAAAAAAACAATCGAAATCTCTAGCAAGAGCCTGGACTAAGGCCGGTTTATACTGTTCTGTGGGAATAAACAAAAAACTTTTCTTTGAAATCAGAGAACAGTAGTCAGCATGACATCATCTTAAGCAATTTGCGGAACCGAAAAAAGATTCTGATCTTGGCATCTACCTTACACACAGATGGAAGACCAGGATTAATTCCAGTTGTGATGGTGGCATTCTAAGGAATAAAAACTAGATGGCTAGGAACCCAGAAAGACTTAGGAGCGCAGATGATGAAAGCTGCCCTTCTCTATTCTACGTGAGGAGCCCTCGAGCTGGGGCAATTCGCTTTTCTGAATTACTTTCTTAATACACAATGCAGTCTCTACCATTAATAAAAATATTAAATTCCCCCAAGTAATGGTCAACTCTTTCATTATATTGATCTCCGTAATCCCCTAAGCAAACCAATCCCCTCCTCCTCTGGCTCCGCAATACTCGGATTACACTGTAAGTAGCACTTATCACATCAGCTACACGTGCCGGTGCCCACGTCTATTTCCCCAGCCAGACAGAGGGAGAAACGTTGCGTTGGAAGGGCTACTGGTGGGGTCACGTACAGCTGAAGAGGTTGCGCACTGCCCAACTCTTGGGTTTGCAGTTCACTCGATTATCTCTGTGAATGGGACACAGAGCAAATCTGCATAACCTGCATGGCTTTATACAATAGCTCTGACTGGGTTTAAAGTCAGAAAAAAAGGTTAAACTGTTACTTCTCCCACTTATTACTCTGTGATTTGATACAAGTCACTTAGTATTTCTAAACCAAGCTTAGAAGTAGGAGTGTACATAAAGCTACCTAAATTTTATATACATATATATATGTGTGTACATATATATATATATATATAAACACAAGAGTATTATCAGTAAATGACATGATATATATAAAAGCATTTAGTGAGCTTAGTGCATTATAAAAAAGGTAAGATCATTTTCTTATTACTCTAGGTATTTCTATATATCATCACTTAAATCATCTTTATACATGTTTTATCCGACTAAATTGAAATATAAAATATACTTAATTTTAAGCTTCCATATATCTGCCATTTAGCTAAAATATAAAAATGAAGAGTTCATGTTCTTTATTTAGAAATCTACTACCTAAGTAAGATCTTCCCATTTTATTATAATTCACCAAAACCAAATGAAAACGGTCTTATGTTAGTAAAGTTTAAAATGCAATAGTACATTTAGAAAGTACGATTATGGTCTATGGCCATGCCACCTTGAATGTGCCCGATCCCATCTGATCTTGGAAGCTAAGCAGGGTCGGGCCTGGTTAGTACTTAGATGGGAGACCACCTAGGGAGACCACCTAGGAAGACCAGGTGCTGCGGGCATGAAAAATAAAAAAATAAGGGATTATAAGCTGACAAGGTCTTTGCAATCTGTGAGGTCAACCAAAGGTTGCCTTGCCAAAAAAATAAATAAATAAAATAAAATAAAAAGTACTATTAGGAAAAGTAATAGTACGTTATAAATAGTAAAATGATATCTGAAATGTGAAGATACAGTAACATATAACTAGAAGCTAAAAATCAAACAAATGGACTACTAGGTGATCAATCAGTCATTTGAATATTAATGTGGATAAAGAAAAGCTGTTGGAAGGGGGCAGATGGGTGAATTAAAAAGCGTCGTGAGAGACACAGGAACCTGGTTCCTCCACGCAGGTTCTGCTACCAACTAATATGTGAACTGAACCCTCTACGTGAGTGCGTTAATAGTAACAGGAGAACCTGATATTTTGAGAGAACTTTAGCATGAAAAAATACTTTCACTTATTATCTCTCCTCGGAAACTAGTCTCCTACTGCGCTCTGAGGAGTCAAAAGAATTTTCTGCAAAGTAGGGACCCTGGAGGAAGCATGGACGAGGCTCAGGGGCCTGGCTCCAATCCCACCGAAGCAAATTCCTTGTTCCCTGTTTTATAGCTTAGTCTTCTGCATGAGATTTCATTTCAAAACGTGATTCTGAGTCTAGGGAAAAAAATGTGGCATTTCCTTCCAGGCTCTATGATTCTCATTTTTGAAAAAAGAAAATGCAACAAAAACATTTATAAGATACTTGTATTCAAAACACTTTCTGATTATTTTTAGAAAAGATAATCTCAGAATTCAAACATTCTCTTTAAAAACTTTCACTTTCTTCTTATCTTTCTGTTTTATGTAAATTTTTAAAGATACGTATGGATTACTTTCAAAAGCAGAAAAGTACATTAAAACAATATTTATTTGGGGGAAAAAATGAGACATTTCTTTTAAAAGACCAACTGAAATCCCTTGGCCAAAGAACAGGGTGACTATATGATTTTTACCCAAAGTACACACTCTTAATAGTGACAAGGACACCATTAATTATTCATCTCAGATAATGGAAGTAAGTCCCAGGAAAAGAGGAACATACGGTCAGTCCTTCTACTGATAAGAGATAGGAAAGTGACACCCTGATAAACACAAAGGAAACCCCAAAGAAAATCACCTGTCAAGTAACAGACATGTGCCCTTGGCAGGTGAACCTGCCATTATGGTAATGCAGGGGACATGGACAATTTCAGTTTGGTTTGGGTCCAGATAAGTGGGAGACACAGAGACAAATGCTCCTCTCCGTCAGCCCTTGTTTAGCATGAAAGGCTGAAAATTATAGTGAGAAAGTTAATTACAGCAGTTTGGCTAATTGAAAGCTTTCCAAAACTAATGAGTCTAGCTTAATAGAAAGCTCTGATGCTCAGCAGTCAAAACAGGTTCTAAATGGAGTATATGATCCTACAGTCTTCTGAACAGAGCACAAAACAGTGACTAGTTGGTGCCACCTTCACACTGAAGGACAGGAAGGAACTGGGCTGAGTGCTGTGAATCAGATAAGAAGACCCTAAAAATAAAGATCTTTATGCTTTAAAAACCTGTTTTATTATTCTTCTAATTATTATACTTCCAATACGATACCACTGCCCTTGCCATTTATTATATAGTTTATGAATTTATATATGAATTTATATGTCAACAAATGAGTTGTTTTCTAGATAATGTATGCCTTTTTCTAGGAAATTAATGAATATCTCATGTTAAAGAGACAGAGACCACAGATCTTTACCACCTTAAGGGAGTAAATATCAACAGTAACTAAGAAAACTACAGTGACACGGTCTTGTTACACACTACAGGATCTGGCTGGCTTTTGTCCCTAGTTCCTAGGAGGGAGCCTTTAAACCCAAGGAATTTCTGAGTAATAGGAATTCTGCATTATTCACAGTGGGTCCTTCATACTACTCATGCCAGAGAAACCATGCGAGAGTTGAGGCTTTGAAATATGCATTATCAGATGATCTCCTTAGAGGAAAGAAGGCTTAGAGATTGAGCTCAGTCACATGGCCAATGATTCAATAAATCATGCCTATATAATGAAACCCTAGTAAAAACTCTGGACGTCGTAGTTTAGGTAGCTTCCTGGTTGGTGATATACACCATGGGCCTGGAGGGTGAAGCATGCTGAGGACACAGAAAGTTCACATTTGGGACCCTCCCAAACCTTGCCCTATGCATCTCTTTTTTTTGCCTGATCCTGATTCATATCTTTTATGTTAAAACTGTAACTACAAGCAGAGCAGTTTCCTGAATATTGTGAGTCATCAAAACTGAGAGGGTCATAGGAATCCTTGTGGCTGTTATCTGGAGTGAGGGATGTCTTGTCAGTGCCTGAGCCCTTCACCTGTAGAGTCTTTAGTAATTCCAGGTAGCTACTGCCAGAATTGCACTGCTGCCCTAAAGACTTAAGCCGGTCTCAAGAAATGTGAAAAGCTAGATAATACCCAACATAATGAAAAAAAAAATCACACTTTGATTTAATGTTTTAAAACCTGCATCCACAAGTTATAATTACAATCTTTAAAGAGAATATTCTCCTAAAGTGAAACTAAAAGAAGTTCTTTAAATCTAAAACAACATCAAGGAATGTATGAAACGTTAGCATCTTGCCAGCCTAGGATAATTTGATGTGCTGTTCCCCAAACAAAAAGCACCACTGCTGAGCCACTGCAATTTGGGGTTAACTTTCCACCCAAGACCCACACCCATCACTACCATCACTACACTGTGTAAATGATATTCATTTGGCAGAATGCCAGCCAGTGGGGGAAATGCCATCTCCAACAGAGGAACAAAATATAGTTGACAGTCTTATTTAGAAACTTAATCAATGGTCTCAGTTTATTGGCAGTCTGCAGCCACCAATTACAATAAATGATAAAATACCACGATGTAGCTATGCTCTTCACAATGTTCACTGTTCTTTGATATTTTCATTCGAACAACTAAAGAACAACAAAGTTAATCAAAAGGAGAGTCTTTTGGATTTGTATTCTCCTAAACATTTCCCTTCCGTTTTCAATATATGAAATGTATCTTTTTTATCAATGTATTAATTGTTCTAATACAGATATGGAAGATGGTTTAAACACAATGGAAGCTTGACAGTTAGTTTTCTTCCCCAGTTTTGATAGGGTCTTAAAGAACTTAGGAACAGGAGAAAACAAGCAGCCAGCCACTGCAAACCCAGGGCGTTCTCAGCAGCTTCACTGACAAAAACGACGCAGATTTGAGGGGGTTATTTTCCTGTTACTCCTCAATGACAGAATTGGGTAAAATCTCGAATATGTTAAGATACTAAGATTTTATTCCCTGTTGTAATTGATAAAGGGAGCCACTGTAGAATGTTAAGTGGGGGAACCACACGTAAAAGTGACAATGTAGGAGCCGGAGTTGGGAAGGGGAATAAAAGACAGACTGGAAGAGAGTTAGACTTGAACGAAGATCAGCTTGGGGGGATTCCTCCATACCAATACCCTGGCATGGAATCAAGAAAAAATGGATTCTGTAGAGGTAGACAGAGAGAATGAAGAGAAAGGAAGAGATATGAAAAGTATAGAGCCTTTAATTCAAAAGAGACACATCAGAGATGGCATGGCAGTGAGCGTGCAGGTGCAGCTCAGCGGACACGGCAGAATGGTGATGAGACCTGGCCTCCCGCTGATCACAAACCCGGGTGGGCTTCACGAGCCACACCAAAGGGCTGGTACCTGAAACATCAGTGGGGTGGTGGCAGAAGAAAAGTTCAGACTCTTGATCATGTGACTTTCAGGATCGTATTTTGACATAAATCCTTTGATTATGACCGTTTTGGCCGTTCCTTGTTCACCAATTAACATCACAGCCTAAAATAGAAAATGAGAAAGAAATCTAACAAATACAATAAAATGATTGTCCTGGACTGAATTGTGCCCCCCTAAATTCGTATGTTGAAGTCCTCAACCCCAGGACTTCAGAATGCGACTGTTCGAAGTTAGGGTCTTTAAAGAGATAATTAAGTTCAAATGAGGCCTTTAAGGCGGGTTGTAGTTCAAGTTAACTGACATCCTTATAAGAAGTGGAAATCTGCATACACAAAGAAACAGCACACAGCTAAAGGCCCTGGGAAGACACTGTGAGAAGACGGACGATCATCTGTGAGCCAAGCAGAGAGGCTTCAGAAAAACACCAAACCTGCTGACCGACACCTTAATCTTGGACCTCAAGCCTCCAGAATGGGAAAAAAAAAAATCTCTTGTTTAAGCCACCTGGTCCGTGATATTTTATTACGTCAGCCCTAGCCAACTAAAACAATAATCAAAAGAGAAGCATTTCTCTTTGGAAAAAGAAGTCAAAATTGACTTTCTCTCAACTAATACATGAGAAATAATTAATTATCAATTAGATCTATTAAACTCTAATATTGTTATTGGGGAATAACAAAAGAAGTATACTAATTTGGATAATATTTTCATTTATGTTAAACAGCGACATAAAACATTCTAAAACAAATGCAAGATGCCTCGTGTTTTCAACTGACATTTTAAAATATACCGTTTTCAATAAAAGTTAATGAGCTGTACCTTGCCCTGTTTTGCGATGGTTTTAATTAGGAAATCCGTCCTCACATTGTCAACGTTTGGCACCAGGATGGAGCCATATTCTGGGATGGTGTTAGATGGATACTCATACTCCTCGGTACGTGTGTTCCAGTGCATCCAGTTACCTGGGGTCAGCAGAGAACATTTACCTCCTCATATTTCTATTAAAAATTTCTTTTGGTTTACTTTTATTATGGTGACATTGCTTAACGAAATCCAGTTTCAGGTGTATAATTCAACAGCAAGGCATATGTGTATTGCACTGCGTGTTCACCACCCACAGTTAGATTTCTTTCTGTCACCACATATTTGACTTATTTTATCCCATCTACCTCCCCTTTTCCCCCTCCCCGCTACATCTTCATATATGTGTACTTCATATATGTGTATATATGTACAGTTTTAACTAACTGTAAGGAGTGGACACCCATGACCTCTCATGAAGACACCTTCCAAAACCTCCCCATAAAGTAAAGGTCATTAAAATCAGATCTCTAAGTACTGTGTATTAGCTGAGTCAAAAATTTCCCTCGGAACTATTCCAGAGTAGTAGTATTAGGAAATACTAAGAAGTATCTTGGCATTTTCTTTCTAAATATGTAGGTTTTCAATAACATGAAGTGTATATAAAAATACAGAACACAGTGACAGTAGTATGTATCTCAAATCATTTTAAAATGTCAATCTCATGAGCTTTTCATTACATACTTCCTTAACGGTAAGACCAAAATCAAAAGATCCTAGGATGCCATATATAAATACAGAATATATGTGTGTACTTCATATATGTGTATATATGTACTTTATATATGTATGCGCATAAAAATACATCAAGTATATATACAGAATAGGCATATAGATATACACATACTTGGTAAAAATATACTTCACATATTGTAATTTTTATATAAATTGCTGATCGCGTCAAATGAATGGCTGAAGTGGATCTGACTCGGGGATTTTTTAAATTTGTATGTAATTTATTAAAAGTTCAGTATACAAAATATTTAACAAGGGAAAATGTGCACATATATAAAAATATATACACACACACATATATATACATACACACACACGCACACACAGTATGTGTGTGAATATTAGCCATTTGTAAATAACTGTTCCTGCATGTTACTGCTCAATGGAAGAGACCACGCTCACCATCCGACGTGACATAATAGTCGAACATGGTGTCCTCAGTCCCCGCGAGGGGTGGCAGATCCAAGGCCAGCGCTGCCTGAGACCGCAGCCAGAGCTCCAGGCGGTGCCGGCCAGCCAGCTCGCAGCGCCCC